GGGGGGGGGGTGTTCGTTGCTTGAAGTGGATCAATATAACAGAGAGCCATCAACGCAAAGGAAATTTCTCTCGTCGAGCAAGCTGAACGACCAGACCCAACCACGCGAAAACTGCGGAGCTAGATGTGCGGCCCGCACAATGCATTGTTTTCGATTGGAGAGAGGCGAGTACAAAGCAGGAAGGAATTGTCGGCCAAACTTTCGGCAGATAGGTCTACTCGGGAGCGTAAGTGGGGTAGCAACCCATGGTGGAGCGTACATGAGAAGCTGGACGTTGGTGTACGCCCCATCCCGGCGTGTGAGTAGGATCTTCGGCTGTGCAACTCGTCCCTGAACTTATTTTGGTGAAAATGACCTCCCAGGAGGGAAGTAGCCTGTACCGCGGGACTTCGGAGATGATAAGTTGGGTGGTCGGGGGACGTCTGGGTGTTTACTAAGCAGAGCGCCCGGCACAAGACTGGGGTACTTGTGCCAGGAGGTGTGAACTTGGATCTAGACTACGAGCCTATGTTGGAGGCGCTATTTAGCGTCGGTGAGCCGGCAAAAGAACTGAAAGGAACCACAACCCCCGCCGGACACTCGGGTTGGAAGGGCGAGTATTTCATATACCTTCCTGAAAAAACACGAAAAACAAGTGGCCACGGTCCAGTTGCCGTAGAGATCATGAGGATGGTGAAGAAGCTTGGAGGATGGAAGCAGAAACTGTGGAAGGGAGACAAGTTGGAGCTGCTGCTGTTTGGGATTCCAAGGGACATGACGAGGATAGAGTTCAAGAACTGTTGTGACAGGGAGGGACTGCACTGCCTAGCAAGGGGACAAGTAGGCAGAGAGCATGAACACTTCCGGGTGAAATTGACCAAGGGAGACAGCCAAGAGTGCTTGGGGGTTGATATCGAGAAGCTGTCGAACTACGTAAGGAAGTTTGGATGGAGGGTTTGCATCGCGAACATGATAGAAACAGAGGAGATAAGGAGACAAGAGGCGAGGGCGACGGAGGCGAAGAAAGGACCGAATGGGGGAGGCGAGCAGGCAAGTCAGAAGCAGTCCGAGAAGAAGCGGAAGGCGAACGATAGAGTGCGCAAAATCTCCAATAGGGAAAAGCACAAGCTGAGAGTCGGGTCGTGGAACGTGTGCGGGTTCGCAAGGAGTGAGCGCAAGCGGTTGGAAATAGTGGACCAAGTAGAACAAAGCGATCTAGATGTAGTGGGGATCCAAGAGACGTGGGAATTGAAGGATGGGGACGTTGTAAGCAAATTCCGGAAATACCGGTGGGTAGGAAAGACAAGAAAGGGCTTAGACCCAAAGAAAAGGGGGGAGGCGGGAGTCGGATTCCTGGTCAAGGAGCACTTGTTTGACGTGGTGGAAGTAGTGATGAAAACGGAGTTTGAGGAAAGCCTATGGCTTAAGATACCTGGGGAGCAGGGAGAGAAAGATTTGTTTCTAGGGAACGTATACGTCCCACCGTCGTCGAAGAAAGTCGCAAGCAAGGCGCAGGAGAACTTTGGACAAATTGGGGAA